TCTTCTCAAAGAGGAAAACGCACTGAAGTTTTAATTAAGTTAATAACTTAATTAAGACTTAGTTAAAATTAAATAACATGCCTTAACAGTCACACAGTTTACAGTTCTTCATCTTTCAAAGGACTGCCATACTGCACTCAATGTCACTTGCTTTACATTTACACAAGAACGCTAAGAACACCTCATGTCGAGCCTAGCAGGGTAGAATAGGGTCCTCTCAGGGAAGAGGAGCCAAAGAAAAAAAAACACCACATACAATTTCAACTTCCTCTTATCCATAAACGTGATGGCGTGACAAGGTACCTTCATCAACACATTTGCAAGCTCAGTCATGGAAAGTTTTAAAGAGCTTAACTTGCAAAACAACCACCAGTGGGACAATATGCTTTATTCCTCACTAGCCAATTCAAATAACAGTGGGATTACGTGAGTGACTGTCAGCAGCATATAGAATTATTCATTAATCCCTTCTTTCTGACTACGTTTGTCATATTTACTTCCCTAACTTGAACCCAACTAACTGCCAACACTTCACCCTTGGCTACTATAATTTGCCCGTAGTGACAGTTTAGGCTCAGTTGCTCTCAGTAAAATTCATAACTAATGAGACTGCATTTTCACACATGCACTCTCAAGATAAAAAGAAAAAGCAATTAAAAAAAAAAAGAAACAAAGAGGCTTTGCACAAATTCAAGGTTAAACAGTTCCTGAAACCTGCATACTATGGAACCTAAATAGCAATACGGTTTTCTTCTGGGAATTGCTCCTGATTTGTAGATTTTCCTAACCTTACAGTTCAAAATACCACTATAATGAAACCCAATATCTTGAGTAGTGTGCATAACCAACAAGAAGAGTAACATCTCAGACATTTCAGCTTGGAATTAGGTGGCATTAGAGCACAGTTTTAGTACAACGCTCAGCACTCACACTCCCAGTTCCAGAAAGCTATGTTTAATGGAATTCAGCTTCTTGTACAAACGGATCTGGGAATTGGTTCAGCTTGCTGTCTGCTAATGGAAGGGAACACAAAGTTGTAGTGAAACACAAATAAGAGGTAGACTGTAAAGGCAGGATATTTTTCCCTCATTTCTCTGCACACCTCTAAATCCAGTCACCAATTTCTTAACCTTCCACTTTAATAAGCCACTTACCAGCTGCTTACTCTAGTGTTACTGCCATCTAGCATGGGCTGACAAACCTAGGCATCCCTTCCCTTATATAGCGACTATTAACAGACAGAAGCTTTAGAAGCTAGGTGATATTCAAAGCTTACTTGTTCACTGGATGAGATGTCAACCTCTCTTCTCAGATTTCAAACACATGCAGCATGTTACCTATTCATTTATGTTTGGGTACAAAGGTAGGACAATGTAGACAGTGGTTCCATCCCAAAATTGTAAATCATTTCTAAGAGTGGTTTTGGAAAGACTTCCTAAAGTTTAGTAAATAAATGATTGGTTTACATTATCCCTCTATCAGGAAGGAAATCTACACAATTTACCATCTACTTTTAAAAAGCTGTGGGTTTTAGCAGGGGGTCCTTCCAGTAACGCTATGCAGTCCAACTCCTGTAAGAGAGTCAGCTTATTCCATGTTCACGCAAGTTTATTCTGCTGGAAGAACATGAACTGTAGAGTCCTCCCACTAGCAGTTTTATAATTGTCTCTGCATTACAGTTTTTGCTGCATGCTGTACATCAGCTACAGATCAGAGGCCAGAGACATTTTAAATATCAGTGAAATCAAGATGGGATGCAGCGTGCTTAGACAGAGACATACTTTGTACCTAGTCGTTCTAACCTGTATACTACTAGACATGACTAACCCAAACTGTACAGAAATGCCACCTTTAACTCAATTGCCTCTCATATTAGTTTGCGTATTTACATATTTCTTTACAGTCTGTCCTAAAAGAGATTACAAGCTAATCTGAGTGTGTTTAATGAAACTGCATTCTACCAGGTAGAAACATTTCTTATGGCACTCCTAGAATGACTTCCACACTCACCTCATACAACTGAAATCCCCAGGTATTATAGTCCTGACAGGTCCAAAACCCAGATTTCATCAACACTTGTTGTTGTTAAGAACACAATCTATTATTACTTTTTCAGGGAAGGATAGGCGAAGCAGTCACAAAAGCACCTATTACAACTGCATGGGATTTTCTTGAGAACGATTTGGGGAGAGCCACGTTCAGCGATGAAGAGTACTAGAAACCAGAGAACAGTTCAGCCTATAAGGACAGGCTGAAGATGGGGAAAAATTTTGTCATTAAAAAAAAAAAAAAGTATGGCCACACCTCACTCACTATAGGCCCACTTCAGAGGAAAAAAATAAATAAATACAAAACACCACCACCACCACACACTATAAGCATTCGCTCAAGCGGAATCCTGAAATAAGGCCAGATGCTTAACAGTCTTTCACACTGATGTCAGAAAACTTCTGCATGTGCCACTCTCCCCTTTTAATTTGAAGTTATTTGTTGATTCTCTCAAAACAACCCACTGTGTCAGCCTACTAACGTGGTATTTCCCCTTCCCCATGCACAGACATCCTGTGTTAGTACTGTACTCCCTTCACATTGTGCTTCTCTCACTTTCACACGCCAGTGATCACAGCAACACATGCTGGTATACATTCAGCACAGAGTAAAACCCCAAAAAAAAAAAAAAAAAAAAAAAAAAAAAAAAAAGTACATTTCAAGTGACAAACCAACGCAGCAGTTTTGCAACACTGCAACAGCAATAGGATGCAGCTACTAGATGTCAGCAGACATGCCTCTATTTTTAACAGCCTTTTTCGGTCAAAAAGCCTGCTCGCTCGTTTGCGTCACGTACGTAAAGTCTGTTAGAAAGGCAGCAGCGCAAGGCAGGGTGGGAGAGATCACGTGTGCTGCGCTGCACTGGGGATCCCGAGTCACACGCCAGTGGCACCGAAGAACCAGGCAGCAGACACCGCTCTCACCTCCTGGAGGGGTCATTTTCTGAGTGCTGGAGCAACCTTCCCGAGCTCGGGTAAAAGTTTTTCAGGAAAGATGGGGTAGAGAGAGAGGAAGGGAGACCAGGTGGCGCAGATTCACTCTCATTGCGAGAGCGCCGAACCCCCGTAACAGGACTGTGCAGGCAATAAGAGAACACAGCAGATGTATCAGAATGGAAATGGAAAAACAAGACACCCAAATTACAAATACTGGTCAAATGCCTCCTTTTGGCTTACAGTAACTTTGCTTTCCAGAAGATAAATTGTACCAAGTGCACTTCTGGACAGTTTCCTTGATTACATTGATTCTACTATTACACTCGATTTCTTTTAAGGAACATTTTAATGACGTTGAAGAACAGGCAGAAGATTTCTTTTTTTTTTTTTTTTTGGTGTTATTTATTCTCAAAACAATTCCGGAAAAAACAAGGCTCTGAGGTGTCAGAAAATATCCTTTCAAACTTGCTTCCTAACGTAAACCACCTTGTTTTTAACCTTCAGTTGTCTCTTGTTTTTATAAATAACTTAAGTGCATTGCTAGAACATGTTGTAAAGTACTGATTATTCAAATGTAATATTTTGGGGTAAATTTTTCAAATTTTTGTTACGTATTTAAATGAAAAAAGATCCTCCCACTACACAGTTAAACATTACCTAACAACAGTAAAATGTGTTAGGACGGACATCAGAATCAGTTCTGCTTCTTCTACATAACATTTCTGGCTAATCCTCAATAGGAAAGGAGAAAAGAAAAAGCCCAGCCTAGAACCAAGCCGTTACAGAGCTGTTTTGACTGAAAATTTGCTGACTATGCAACTTAATCAGTGACTTCTTGAAAGTTATTACAAAGAAGTGAAGTCAGCAAGTCCTTCACTTTGAACTGTCAGGGCTTCCTGTTTGCATATGACATGGTCAATGGAAAAAAAAAAATAACTGGTTTATCTCTGTAAAAAACACATTATTTCTCTCTTCAGAAATGCAAAATAGCAAGGCCATTTGAAGGCTAATTTCTTACTCTTCTCCTCCTTCCACCATTCGCTTAAACAGAATAAAATCGTTTGCCTTTCTCTGCAAGCCGGTGTGGCGTTCACGTTGCTAATTTAATTCAGACACCAAAAGGGTGAAAAAACATTATTTACGGTCAGCTTTGGAAAGGGCCCGCAAGAAGTGTAAGTTGTGAGCCACGTACTGCAACAGCTGAGTAGTGTGGAGAAGGTGCTTCTCCAGTACAAAAAAAATCAGCTCACGTAGGCCTGAATCCTGGACAAGTTTTGAAGTTTACGTGGCCACTTACTGGAGATGGGAAGGAGGGATGCAGAGAGAGTAGTACCTCCAAGGAGGTCCAAAACGATCTGTGGGGACCTCTTCTGACCAAGTGCAGGAACTCAGCTTGGCTCTCAAAGGAGAAACGTCCCACACGAATTAGCTGGAGAGTCTCCAAACGTGAGGGAGAAAGAAGTGTTAGAGGGAAGCTCCCAGGAAAGGCAAATAGGGAAATGGACACGTTTCACAGCTCAGAGGTGGTGTTTAATCCTTCAGCTGTTTTGTGAGACTCCTGAGTAGTTTTAATTCTGGACACAGCCTCAGGGAGCCCAGTTAACACAGTGGCAGACACTTGAAGCTGTCAGTGCCTTTTTCATCCTGGCAGAAACCGTTAGGCACCCGTTTGCGCTGCTAAAAGCCGTAGGAATCTTCTCTCTCAAGTGCCTGACACAGCCAAAAGGCTTAAACAACTTGTCAGAGGTTGCAAATAAATAAATAAAAAGAGCGGAAGCGACATCCGGGCTGATGATCAACTCGCTAGATCGCTGTCGTCTCCAAATCACGGATTCAGGCTTTAGAGAGCTACTGCCAAGCGCCAGACCGCTCGGACGTGGGAAAACCCAGGCCACCGCGCGAACCGCTTACGGAGGGGAACAGAGGTGAGGCTCACGCACCAAAACCAGCTCAAGCGCTTATTTCAACGCTGCCGTGACACGGAGAGGCAACGCGTTTTGCGCCGGACTGACTCACCTCCCGGGCTCTACGCAGCTCTGGCGCAGCAGGGGGGCCTTGACGCTCTGGGACCTGCCGTTCTGGAAGGTTATCCGCCGCTTGGCGCTGGACGGCGGGTGGCTGAAGGTGTGCGCCCGCCTCCTGAACTGCGGCGAGTCCGAGTCCTCCTCGGGAAATGGCTGCCAGGCCAAGGACACGGGGGAAGCCGGCGGAGTAGCCGGAGGAGAATCCCCCGGCGAAGCGTCCTGGAAGGAAGTGCGAGAGCGATGAGGCCGGTCGGCCAGACCTTGCCAGCCAGCGGCTCGTGGAGCCCCCCACGGTAACGCTCATCAGCGCACCACAGCCTCTCCCTCCCCTTCTTGGTCATGGCCTATTGTATGCTATTTACCAGCTGGGCCACCAAAACCTTTGACAATTGACTCCAAAACAGCAGCGTCCTTTCAAAAAAAAAAAAAAAGAAAAAGAAAAACGGGGGGAGGAATAAAAGTTTACACACAATGCAAACAACATACTAATTACTCTAAGCATCCTCTTGCTGCGATCAGCATTCCAGTTACCGGGCTTCTGGCTCTCTCCGGAAAAATAAGGAACCGAAAAGATTAGGGAAACTGCTTTTTGCTAGCTTCCTTGACATATCATAAGCACTTCCTGTGCCGTCAAAGCCATATCCTGGAAGAGAGACCGTTATTACACAGCCAACGTATGAGTAGCTGCAGCAGGAAAATCATAACCAAATCCTCATCTCCGGGGAAAAACCAGGCGACCAACTCGTGCGCAAGGTAGGAAGAAAAAACATTAAAAACAGGAAACAAAAAGAAAGTGAACAGACCGCTGTCTGCCCACCCTCCAGTGCAGCACCCCCAACAGCGGGTTTTGGGTCAAAATTCTGACTTCCCTAAAGCAACCGTTACTTACAAAAAAAGGACTCTTCACCCTCAGAGCATTTCATTTGGCTGGGATACGATCATTTTTAATTACCGCAGAGAAGCGAGGCAGAAACGGCCCAGAAATTGCCTGCTTTTATAAAAGCAAGGGAAGTGCAGAAAAAAAACAGACTGGTAATCAAACAATAGATTAAAGCTGAAGCTCCTAGTCAACATATATTACAGCTTTCCTACGCTCTCCGCCCCCCAGTGGAAACTCCTATTTATGAGTTCGGTAAATTGTTGTGCTTTGTGCTACTTCCTTCAAACCGAAGCGAAGTGCCATGGTTATGCTCCGTGAACAGCAGCGCATCAAAACGTGCCGCTCGTAACCGAGCTCCTCACGTACTTTGTCAGAGGCCAGGCTGTTACAGCGCTCGAAGCCGTCCACGCTTCCCAGGCGGCCTCGCATTCTGTTGGCTCCCTGCAAGGAAAAGCGAGTCATTTAATCCGGCCTTCTGCCCCCTGCCTGAAGGTTAAGCAAAGACGGCAGCAGCTGTGCAGGTGAAGAGAGGACGGCTCGGACACGTGACACGTCAGACCACAGATAATGGGACCAGCGCTGTTTTCTATGCAGTTCCGCCAGCTAAAGACGTTACCGCTTTTCTTCTCTCCCCCAAGACTTTTTAACCCTGCAACTCGGTTTTCTGAAGCAACCGAGCGTTCCTTAACCCATTCGATGCAAAATCGCTCAGTTGGCTTACCCAGCCAAGTTCAGAAAGCTTCAGACTTCGGTACTGCGCAGGCACAGCAACTAACGGACGCATTTGACATACTTTACCCCCCTGTCTAGACATTTCAGACAAATAAAGGCCACCTGGGCAAGGGTAGCAAAAGCACTAAAATTAGGGCCAGTGCTCGCTAGCTGCAAACCCAGCCAAATAAAGTGAGATACAAGTAAGTCTCTTCAACTGTAACAGCAGATAGTGCTGAGGCAGAACTGCTAGAAGTCGGCGACATCTGGCTTCGTGGGAGGAGGAGACAGAGCAGCAATACCTTTGACTACCTTCTACCTCTTAACTTTTACTCCTGTGAAACACGGCTGACGACCTATGCTGTTGGACACTTCCAACTGCTGAAGTAAGTTACCTCCAGCACTTAAATAAGAAGGAAAAAAAAATCTGGGTTTTACAAAAACTATAGACAGACCTAGAGCACAGTAGCTCTTCTTGGTATGCCTGCAACTACAGGGGAAGTTTTGTCAACAAAAGCAGTATTTATTTAGCCGGCTTTTTCCTGGTTGGGTTTATTTTCATTTTCAAGATTTTGAATGCCCCTTCTGCGCATTAACCCATTTAAGCTTTCTACCAAGGAACACTCTGTCTGAAGCATCTCTTCATTGACCCTCGCAATAAAACAAGAGCAAAGGAGAACCTGGAAGTTTCTCACTAGATTTAAAAACACTCAAGTGTTATGCTTTTGGCATCCTAAGAAGGGCTTTTTGGTTCAGAAAACAAACAACAACAAAAAGTTTAGCATGGTATGGGCTAGGATAAATCTGTTCATGAGGTCAAAGAGAGGTTATATTTATTTTTCTGAGGTACACAGCTAGGAAGCCACAGCCTGTTTTCAGTTCAAACCTAGCAAAAATAAAATCAGCCCAGCAAAAACAAACAAGTGAAAAAGTGACATTCCTTTGTGAGTAAATAAAGTCAGAGCACAGAACCCAATAGGTTTCTCTGCAGCGAGGAGTCAGCAGTAACTCATTCAAGTAGCTTAAAATGGGACTTGATGCCATTTATCCAGCTAAGCTATCATCCACTTAAAGTGTCCCTAGATAACCAGTTACTGTATACTTATTTCTAATTTTGCTATGATTGAGGTCTCCCCACAACAATGACTGATTTTTAACTTTTTTTTTAAAACTTAAATCTTTGTATCTACAATAAGATTCTGAATGACAGCTTCACAAAGAATGATTTTCTTTCTCGATCTCTTTAGTACTATCTGTCTTAAAATAGAGATGATAAATCATGCACAGTTAGCGTTCCATCACACTAATACCATGTGACTTGCAGCTGGTTTAAGGGAAAACAATCCCATACCAGTAGGCATTTGGTGCCTAAATACTTTACAAATTAACCAAGACCCAGAGGCTTGTTATAGCAGTAGTCTGATGCAGAATAAGAACTACTGAACCAATCACTGGGTAACACATGCATGCACACATCTCACACACACACGCACACACACACACACACAGTATGCACACAGACAATGTCTAGAAACCGTCATTGCATGTACTGGCTTCAAGTCTAAATAAATAGGGGTTGATCTGTACCATATATTATTTTTCTGTTTCTTGTATTGCATAATCTTTAAACGGATCTGCAAGGATAAAACCCTATGTGCATGATGATTCCCTTCAGGGACATACTGCTGTCCCTGACCTCTTGCAGTTACAACAACCACCACCAACAACAAAAAGACAATCGTCATCACAACAGCAAGTCCATCTGGTCAACAGGCAAACTTCAAGTGGCCTGAACACAGACTCAGGCGTCCACTCCCGCTAAACCTAAATCAGGGCCTCTGAGTAGCTCCTTGCACTATAACACGCAGCACATCACAGCGGTCGTGGTGGGAAGGAACGTGCTGTATCAAATCCAACAGCAGATAAGTGATACCCCCTTCCGAGAGGCTTCAATTTAAGCACTGCGTTTGTTTAAATGATTTTTTCCTTTACATGACCCGAGTGCTGATTTGTCCATATATGGCACGCTGCTTTACTGGGTTAATCCCAGCAACGTATGCCTGTGCCACAACGGCTGCAGGGTTAGTGCCCCACTGTCAGCGCTAGATCACTTTCCAGTCACGTGTTCTTTAGATGTGGAAAATAAATCAGACTCAGCGCAGCCGTGACTGTAGCTGTCACCATCTGATGATATTTTAGACTGCTGAAACTATCCAGATCTTCTGAGCGTCACCACTCCCTTTATACGGTCTCCCCACACTCTTGATAAAGTTCCCAGGGTATAAAACTTGCTATACAACATAAGCCAGATTTGACCAGGCAAGTTTTAACGCTAGCTTCAGTCCTAGGTCAAGCCCATGCTTTACCTTCAGTGCAAGCAGTTCTAACAGATTCTACCTGGCAAATAATGTTTTGCCTCCTTTTTAAGGAACATCTGTGGCACCTCAAGTTTGCAGGTTACTTTATGACATGCCCATTTAAGCTACAGGGCAAGCGGACAAACTTAGGCTTTGATTTAGCAAGGTACTTAAATTAAGATTACCAGCAGAAGGAACTTAACTTCACTGCTCCAAACTATATTTAGACCGTGTCATCCAGTATTACAGCTCACTGCAGTTTATCCATATACCAGATCCCAGGCGCTTAGCCTTCTTCAGTTACACCTTTATATGCCTCTTCTCTTCTCTCAAGACTCTTCCTACTTACTGTACAGAGGACACCAAGCAAAACCTGCACTTCAGACTTCTTTGTAAAAGGATAATAAATACAGAAAGTTCCAAAGCATGTTCTAGTGATTATCTGCAATTCCATGTTGCACCAGGCTAGCAACACTGTATCGAGGAAGAATTCATTAAAAATATATAGATACATATATGTGTCTAAGTTTTATAGATGGACAGATAGATATTTTTGTACAAGGATCATTTTTCTACTACTTCCCAAAGATTATTAGTGGCCAGCATGAGCTTTTTAGCTGAGATGTGAGGCGTTACTTCTCATAACAGAAAAATCTCCAGTATAATTTATGCAGAGACATTCATTCAGGCCTTCAAAAACACGATAACATATCCCTTTATAGGTTCATACTGCCGTTCTGATTTAAAAAAATCATTTTAAAGTAACACATCTGAAAACACACTGCTAATTTACCTGCCACCTGCAATGAATGCTTATTTTTCAAAAAGTTGCCTTTTTCCTCAGTATATGTGGCTTCTCATAAATTTTCCAGCATAGCTAAGTCACAGTCAACCCAGCTGTAACCCTCAGATTTCACAACATGGATTTAGCTTTATTAAGCATTTATTAGTCTGAGGCCTAAAAACAATACAAAAAAAATCTGACAGGACTTTTCGGTCAAGGATATCTGGGAGAGCTATTGGCAATGAATAGTTAATCTTACCCTTGAGAAGATATTTTCCAGAGAGCTAGTCAAGGATTTCTTGGCCTTGTTTTTGAGAATGTCAAGTTTAAACCTGCCACCACTGGTAGTGTTTTCTGGAATTGCACTGTTAGAAGCAGTCTGTTGAAATAAGGCAAGGACACAATTCAGCTCTGGCAATTCCTTTCGCAATTGCAGACCTCAAAAGACTAAACTCAATCAAGTTACATAATAAACAACATACCCTTGGCCTTTATTTTAAAAGGGGAAAAAAAGTTAAAAGAACATTCCATCCCTAAGGACTACCTTAGAAAAAAATATCAATTAAACAATACTGTTATCTGTTCCGTTTGCTAGATAAATTTGTGGTTTAACCTGAAACGGTGCCCTCTTGGTCCCTATTCTCCCTGGAACGACTGTTAGGGAGCGGGGATCAGGGAGGAAGGGAAAAGACAGAAGAGGTATTCCTCACACCGTAAGGAAATCTAGACCTCAAAAAATCAAAATAATTTCTTGGCTTTTCTCCTTCCTCCCTTCCCACCCAAACTTAAAAGGGTCAAGCCCGCCACAGTAAATCAAATCAAATCACTTCTATTTCAGTCCCCGCTGAAGTCCCAGCTTCAGCTTCCCCTGCTGAACTCTGGCATTGGCCCTGCTCGTACTCAAGGTTGCATTTGAATAGCGTGGGGGAGGAGGGAGAGGCGTTACACAAAATTAAGCTTTACCGGTGGTGCTTCGCCAATATGAACATGCGTTTTCTGCTTAGCCTCACAGAGCTGGCGGAGATGTAAGATCACAAGTTCATTTTCTTCCTGGTCATTTTCCGGCTTCATTTTCTGTTAGTAGCAGCAAAAAAAAGAAAAAGAAAAAGCTGTCTTTCGAGTCATGTTTTGCTTAGTTTCACTTCCATACATTCTTTGAAGTTAGTGCATTGATACTCTAGATGCCAGAGTGCCCTATGAGTAAATTAAATTACACTACAGTTTGCGTGCCTTTGCATTCTTGGGCAACATAGACCAAACCTGTCTGTTTGGAGAACTCTGCACGCCATGGAGGGAAGGGAACTTGTGACTGCATATTTTTTTTTCAAAGACTATCAGCCCTTGACGCCCTTGTCCAGGCTTACAAGTGGAATAAAGAGCGCACAAAAATACACAGGCATCTCCTTTTCCAAGCAGATGGAGAGGAGCATAGCCTTTGGAGGCCTAAACTAGTTTGTGCTTACTTTAAGCAACCTAGATGACTGTGAGCGTGGTTTTATACTATCGACTTGATCCACTCAAGTTCACTAAGAATCTTGCCTTGGAGTACAAGTCAAAGCAGAGCTGCTGCAAACGCCAGCCACCTCCTGATACCCTGCGTGTCTCACCTGCTCTCAACTCACCCTCACAATATCACTTTCACATAGGGAAGTGTATTTACAGATGAAGAACCAAGCTCAGAAAAAAAAAATACTTTGCATACAAGGCATAAAAGTTCCAATAGAGATGGGAACCAAAACTTTTTTGATACCAGCATATCGCAGATCATCTTAGGCCAGAGCATACTATTTTAGGATGATGTCTGGCAGAACAATAGTAAATTCTAGACCAACTACATGGCGACACAGCCAAGCAGGGAAAATGGGAAAAAATCTTTAGCCCGTTTCAAACACGCTCTTTCTCAAACCTGAGGCAACAGCTTCTAACTTATTACCTGAACACGTTCAAAAATGTCGGCTTGCTCATTATCAGTTAGTGATGACAGGTGTCTCTGAATTACAAGCTTGGCTCTTGGTGGATAGAGTCCTGCGAAGAAAGGAGAACATTAAAGCTTCGAGAGTCTCACAAACGATCTGCCAAAACACTTCAGGGCAGGCGAAAAGAAACATTAAAAGATATAAACCTGTATTTGAATTTGTACTGTTTAATGTTTGGCAGCTGTATATGCAGGGATGTGACATGAATGACACAAAATACTTCACATTTTGCTAAATCACATTTTGCCTTATTTTATGGGCAGTAAAAATAGAACAAGCCACAGTTAAGCTGCAGGCTCTTGTGTGAAAGGTTGTGCTCTCTTCCCCACTAACGTTTGCCATCCGAGAGCCGAGAGACCGCTACGATGAAAGTCTGACATCGATGCAGGGGCGGGAGGAAGCGGGGAGCGGAGCATGGCAATAGCTGGAAAGACATTCAGTGCACAAGGCGCTCAGAAATTTTCAGAGGCTTTTAATTGAAACATTTAGAGCACTTTCACACAAGGAATTGAGAGGGTACCGGTCATACTGCAGAACTGAACAGTCCCTCTTCAAAAGCAAGAGGGGCACAAATGCCATAGAAACAGAGGAAAGAATTTTTGCTCTTTGCTAAGCCCCACGTTTGCGCGTAAACCTTGTTCTAAGAAGCTAAAAAAAAAAAAAAAAAGAAAGAAAGGAAAAACCCTGAGGGGAAACTAAAACCCCTAAGTCAGGTGAAAAAATATTTTTGCAGTCAAGGTAGGTATCATTCATAGAAAATCGCAACCAGAAGAGACGAAGACATGTTAAAAAATCATAAAGCCCTGGATTGAATTAGTAATCTTGTAGATGTTAAAGAAAATGGAATGATAAAATAAATAAATAAATAAATAAATAAATAAGAAAGAGGTACTACGGTAAGTCTTTCAATCACTAACTATAAAGTTTAAGAAATGACCACTTTCATACTCAACTTGTTATATTAGAAGAGATCTTTTTTGATAATGGATTCTTATATCAGGCTTGCAAGTATCCTTATTCAAGGCACTTACACTGCCACATACACATACAGCAACCTCTACAGTTTTCCACTGACAGAATTTCCAGTTAAGGTTTATGATTTCTGAATATCCGTTGCTAAACCCAGAAGACACTGGTCACAGCCTAACAGAATGCACTCCACCAAGGATTTTACTTTGCTTTTCTTCCACCAGAGGGAGGTAGGTAGCAATAGTGACTTTGAATCAATGGGAAAGCGGGCAACTTAACAGCATCACCAGACCAGAGGAGATGAGATCATGGTAACGTATTTGCTTGTTTGCATACAACACTTTGCAAGGATGCAAATTAGAATGACTGTAAAAATAGGATCCTGATACAAGATAGAATTAAAAACAAACTAGTAAGACATTTTGTATGTGTTCTAGCATACTGCACTTCTACAAAAAACCAACAATGGTTGTACGTGCACATATTTCCAGACAGGGAGTTGCCTTGACTATCTTTATTAGATGTTAATCTCCTACCTTAATCATATATTTCCTGTAATAGAACTAGGTTTTGAAATGCATACAAAAATGAACACAGAAAGAAAAGAAATCCCACACAGGAAAGAACATATAAGAAAGCAAGACCCTTTTTGATTTGTCTTTTTATGACCCATTTTGAAATAATGAATCCTCAGAGAAACAAAAGGAAAAGCTGTTGGGTTTTTTTTGGTTCTGTTTAACACTTGAGAGGCACAACGATGAAAGAATAAGAATTTACAATACAAGCTGTATTATATTTAGCTACAATATCATTACTGCAGTCACCTCCCACTTGATTGCAGTGAGTGGAAAGCGATGACAAAAATTTCTTATTGGGCCACTTTTCCCTCTGTTCCTACACTTCATTAACCAAAAGCGTATGGGACGCATAATTAAAATTAACAGATACAGTAAGATACTTCTAGAATAAATAGACTTCACTGTTACCTTCAATTCTTTCACACAGTTTATGCAATGAGTGCATAGGGCAGGCCTCGCACAGTTTGACCTGCGTCTTGGCATTTTGCAGAGCTGCAGCAGTGCTAAAGGCCTGTTTCAGGGTAAGCATTACCTCATCAACCTAAAGGGAAACAGAGAAAAGACAGTATATAAACAGAAATGTATGCCATATGCCTCAAATTAGATTTACAAATCACATCACAGTCAAGTGCTTTACAATCAAAAGTCCTGCTGCTGTCTGCAAGAAGACACAATTGTCTACTGGTAAAGGATCTATTTGCGGCTTTCTACCAATTCTCTGAAGACAAAGGCAATGGCATATTAACAGGACTTAAACATTGGTGTTTTCTGAAACATCCAACTGCAAATGTTTATAGAGGTTCTAGCCGTGTGCAGAATTTCAAAGGGTAAATGGAAATAGGAGAATGGAAGAGAGATGTTAGTATTTAAAAGGGCCTAGATATCCACGTCCTGCTGCATCCGAGATGTATCTGGACACACAGGCACCTAAACACTTCTAGAAACTTGTCTGTCGGTAGGCTTGAGAAGAGCTCTACAGCTGTATACTAAGTTTCCACTACTAGCAAAATGGTAATAAATCACAATTTTGTAAAGCAGTTTATCATTTACCCTTTGTCCCAGGATCTCAGACTGTGCAGCCAAGTTTCAAGTGTTACACTGCAAACACATTTTTGGCCCGAAGAAAGGTTTTCCGAGATGCTGCATTTCCACAGTCTCTGTTGAAATAAGGGCTGTGTTGATGCTCACTGTCTTTAAGTTCGGCCAGAGGGCAATTTTGAATATTTAACGGCAGCTACTCCAGCTTGCTGGGCAAGGCAGTCACCTTTTTCAGAAGCCGCAAGCAAGCATTTTAGCTGGGATATACGCTGGCTAAATAAAGAACAGTCATTTCTTTAAGTTTCTTTTGTAAACTGCACATGCTCCCTCTCAACTATTTTCCTCCCACTGTGGTACCGTTTTAGCACAAAACATCGTAAGTCTATCTCCCTGCAGACAGGAGCTCCACGGAGCAGTTCACTTTTCTCGGGATCAAAAATCTCACAGCCTGGCTAGCGGCTTCACCGTAACCAACACCACATCTGTAAGCATTGCTCGCCTGCCTTGTCGGCTGCCCTGATCTCTTCTCTGCCACTACTGCAAACACAGCAAGGCTATGTTCCCACACACCACCACTGGGAAAGCTCAGCTTTTGTGCAAGAAAGGTCAGAGGTGATGGGGTTTCTCCTCACTTATTCAAATACACTCCCCAGCTTTATACACAAAGCCTTTGGAGTTTCCCCACTGGTATTTTAAGGCAATACAATGCTTATTAAAAACTGTTTACCCATGTCTTTGTGTTAGCCTGGAAAGAAGGCAAAAGAGTTAAAAGGCAATTTTTGAACAAAACTGAATACTGTGCTTCAGAAGCAGGTTTTTGCTTTCTTATAAACAGGATGAAGAAAGCTGAAATATTTAAGACTAAACACATGCAGACTAACATTCATACAGACTATTCTGAGGGTCTGTCAGCTACAAGAAAAAGGCACCTAAATGTGGAAATTTGAATTAGTTTGTATCTTGATATTTTAGGGCTTGTTTATTTATTCTTATATAAACATTTTAAACACTACTAGAAGTTCCTTAGTGGTCTCTCCTCTTAGCAATAGGACAAGAAATTGAACTACAAATGTCCCTGTTGCAATATAGATGCATACTTTTTTTAGATTAAGTTAGCACAGATGTCTCTCAAATGGAAGAGACATAAAACGTTGCTAGGTATACGGACAGTGACTACACTGAAATCACGAGGACTGCAGTACAAACTGTAGCTACGTTCAGTGCAAATATACACAAGACTATTAAGACAGCCTAGCTGGCAGCACAGAAGCCAGAAAGCGTTAGGTTTTATAGCTCTGCCCTGACACAATCAAACTGCCATTAGCAGCCAAGTAATTGCATCCAGAATCAGCTCTGGAACGCTCGTTTCCTATTGCAATGCGGACATACCTGCACATAGCAGTATTAGAATACGTAAAGGGATCGATAAATGTTCGATTTGTATATACACACCACATTTTAAGTGTCTTTAAATTACCTTATCCACGGCTGGATTTATTAAGAGATCAGCTGTAACATTTTCTGTTAGTACAAAGATTCAATTGATCTCACAACAAGCTCCCGTGTTCTCATTTTGATATAAGTGCAGATCCTCAGCTAGCGTAGGACACCTAAGGCTATTAACTGCTTGAAGCTTTACTGACATAGAAATCTATTTGTTCTTGAGTTGGCTACTGAATTAACAAATGTTTTCAGCCAGCTAGAGAGATGATTTCTAATTTTACATGAAAAAGAATTAGCAGCTATAAGCACAGAATACTGCAGATTTTTAGGATTCAGGAAATGCTTTAGTCATCCTCTGAAGGAAAGGTTATGACCATTTGTAATTACTTACCAGAGATTCATTTGCGCACTGGAACACATAGCAAACATACTGGCTTAACCCAGGTTCAAGAGATTCCCGACAAATGAAGCCAAAGTGATCAACATGTTTTATACCCTGAAAGAGTTTAAAAAAGAGCATTAACAGACTATTTTATAAACATGTGGAGTTTCCAACTTGATCCGAGAAATAGTTATCAGTCTCCCAACACTTGACAATAGAAAAATTTGAGCTACTACAAACATATCCTCCCTAATGATCTCTTACCCAAACTCAAGCAGTCTTTCAAACTGCTTTTTATATTAGAAAGTTATACAGAACTCTTTGCACAATCAAAACAAAAAGTTATGTAGCAATGTATCTGGGCCTGAATTTCTTCCACTAGAATAACTGGATTTTCAGGGAAGCCAACAGAACAGTCCTAAGTTGTATCTGGAACTGCCCCTGTAGTGAAAACACTGATGTGATGAGCCCACACTAAAACATGGGACTGGGATAGCATCAAAGCAGTGACACATCATCTTTTTTCTGTAATATACGTTTGAACTATACCAAAAAAAGCAGGGATGAGCAGTGACACGTGGGCTAGGACACCAAAACTGAATCCTTAAATAAATTCTTGGTTATGGGACTGACACTGAGTTACATACCAGAGGTTTCAAGACTTACTACACATTACTGCTAATATTTTATTTCAAGATCCGAGTCTAACTGCTCGACAGGGAATGTTGCCTTGCTAAAATGAGCAGTGAGAAGATCAAAGAGACCTGCTTCCAAAGAAGCACTGTATTCTAGTCTCAGTTCATGGAACATGACTCACTATTGTTAAAGGTTTTGCCAATGTTTTTATCATCTAAATATGGTAATAACAGATTCTCTCCAAAAGAAAGCCTGAAACCCCAAGTTCAAATAAAACAGAAAGCAGAACTCAGTTGCTTGGATCCATCTCCAAAAAAAACACCTATGTCGTAAAAAGATGGGAGGAGATGAATCAACTTAACTTGTGCCTACAGAAAACACTCTAGACAAAACCAGTAACACACTACGTGACAGACTGAACATACTGTCGCTACTGCTAGTAGTTTTTAAAACTAAAAATTGAATTGCAAAAGTTACATTTGTGCTACCGGAAGAGCAAAACTTAACTCAAGCGCAAAGAGAGACCATCTAAGAGGGCACAGATGCCATTATTTTACCACAGTCCACACCAATACTGACTTAAATGAAACCATTTTCCTCTGACATCTGAGTCTCCAAAAGCATAAATGGAAAAGAATGACGTGTACTTATGTTGATCTATATAACAGTGAAGTGTTGCCCCCTATTTTGTGATGAAAATGTATTTACTCGACGTGGATCAGTAAGATGCCAGTTCCCTCACTGCTGACAGTGCCTGAACAAGTCTACTGCTGTCCGATTTCTCATTTCTGCATAGGACAGCATGCGTGGTAGAGGTGGAAATGACACTCATGCCACTGAAGCCGTAAATAGTACAGTGTGTTTTTCCATTACTAGCACTTCCATCGGTCTTCTTTAACAGGGCAGCCTGACTTGTCACAGCGAAAGGACATGCAACTTTTTGTTGTTCTGTGCTACCTGAAGGTCAGCAAGGCTGGAACAAGAAAACTTCTACAGCTGCCTGATGCTTGAGCTTAGACAGCATGCACTGAGTTTTATCACCGCTTACATTTGCTGCTTAGTCAATTATGTGAAGCACAGATAATGAATTGACTACAGCAGGTCAATCATACTCAAGCTGTAGAATAGAAATACCTTTCTTTATTAGACCAGACTAAAAGAATTTAGAACGCAAGCTCAAGAGAACGTCTCTTTTCATCCTTTTTTAAAGCTTGGAAGACCAAACATTCCTAAGCTGCAGTCTCACAATACGCACTAAATCACTTCCCTATAAATCCACAAAGAAGCCCTGTGGCTAGCACTGAGTTCTCTAACAGAAATACTGATGAGCTTTATGCAACCAAATCCTTAGTCTTGAACAAATTAGAGTGTCATTTCTATTGAACATAGAAAAAAAAAAAAACCCTCTGACTTTTCTAAAGTATCTGATGCCTTCAGAAAAAACCAAAAAAATGCAGTATTGTTAGTTAGTGCCTGTTCACGTTATTCAAGCATGCAAAATAACAAGCTTTGCTCCAAATGAGACTGAAGAGGTGAAGAACATAACAAAGCCCAATTTTACTTGACACTACTGTATGCAATTATTTTCCTGAAGGAAAGCTCAGTCTCAAAGGACTGCAATGATCTTGCTTTGGGTCTTCGCCACACTTTTAAATCATCACCAGCAGCAGAACAAAGGTTGTCCCAGCTTAGGACTGTTTTGTCCTATTACCAGTATTTTCACAGAAGTCACGAGCCCAGTATGTAAAGCTTACATGTCACTTTTTTTCAGCTCAATACATGCACAACAGGGGGGAAAACCCAAGCCATCTGCGAATTTAGCTTTTCATAGCATTGCTTTAAGATCTTTGCCAACCTTTGATCTTTATTTATTAAAATGCTATTAATACATCATTGTTTGATTATACTGTCCCATTCTAAAAGGCACATGCCTTTTCCCTCCTGTTCTGTCAGCAGCAATAAGAATTATTGTTCAGCAGTACACTTTAGTAAAGTGCCTGGACCTATAGAGGGTCATTCCAGGCTCCACTTGAGTTACAAGCACTGAGCAGTTCTTAATTTGTATTAGCATCTGTAGTACAGTCATGCAAGGGCAGATTTGTTGTTAGTATGAAAAATGAAAGCACTTGGGGGTGGAATCCTGGTTTAGAGCATGTCAGGAAGTGTACTTGAAACTAGAACAATAATGTTTAAGGTGGCCTGAAGTGATGCATGTGCAGAGGGAATGGAAGAGGGAAATGAAACAAGACCTCAGAACAGAAAGTACCAGAAGTAAGAACAGCTGCAAGATAGAAAGAAGTATCCCTCAGCCTAGACATTTCACTTTATAAGAGGTATTTATCTACTGCTTGAAGATAGCTAGGTTCTTCTATTGCCATATTTTCCAGAAGATACGATGCAGGTGAACTGTTATCTGTCTGGAGGGCTGATCAGACAAGACTCTCAATCTTTCAGGAACCTTTTAGGAGTTCAGCTGCTCAGAGACAGTGCTCTCAGAGCATCCTAAATGGGGATTACTTCCAAAATTAAATCCAATGCTCCTTCTTCATCTCTCCTATGAAGAAAGGCTGAGAGAGCTGGGCCTGTTCAGCCTGGAGAAGAGAAGACTGAGAGGCAATCTCACCAATGTCTACAAGTATCTGAAGGGAGGGTGTCAAGAGGATGAGGCCAGCCTCTTCTCCGTGGTGCCCAGTGACAGGACAACAGGCAACGGGCAGAAACAGGAAGTTCCACCTGAACATGAAGAAAAACTTCTTTGCTGTGAGAGTGAGTGAGCACTGGACCAGGTTGCCCAGAGAGGCTGTGGAGTCTCCTTCCCTGGAGATATTCAAAACCCGCCTGGACATGATCCTGGGCAATGTACTCCAGAGGACCCTGCTTGAGCAGGGGGGTTGGACTAGATGATCTCCAGAGGTCCCTTCCAACCTCAACCGTTCTGTGATTCTGTGAAAGCAGAACAGCTTACACTTTGCTTTCTGAACAGTGATCAAAGCTGCCGCTGCTGCAACTCAGGCTTGTTATTTTGTGCCCATCTTTTCTGCATTTAAGCTCTGTGGGAATGGCATCATGTTATTTGTGCAGTATCTACTTGCAAGTGCTACCAGACAAGTGACATAAAAATCCCTGATCTGAATGACAGCCTCTCACTATTGTAAAAGCAAACCACTATGTCAAGTCTGCTGTAACTGTTCATGCATCAACTGCACTTTAACATACAATTTATTCAGCTGTAGTCCCCAAAGAAGTCATGATATTTTTGCCTCAGAACTTCACACTGGATGTGTGCATACATTCATCACAAGCACTCAAAATTCCCATTTTTTAAATTAGGCAGCAAATGGGGTAAAGTAGCAGCCTACTTTCATTTATGGGAATTTTGCTGGAGAGGATAAATGGTTTGAAAAATGGCCTTGGAAACCAAAAAAAAGGAAAATAGCACAGAACGCTGAAAAAGAACTCTAGATTTCCTTTTTCTGCTGCCTCTAGGCTAGCAAGACAGCCTAGCCGAAGAACAAATTGATTCCCTTTATTTTCTGATGTTCTGCGTGTTGCTTCTTATTAACGCTTACCTGAGAACATGACGAGATATCTTTAAAATTCTTTTCAAGCACAACAGATTTGGTGTCTGGACTGATGAGGTTAACTTCAAACCTTCCAACCTTGAAAAGAAATGAGAAATAAGAAAATGTAGTTCGTGACTGCCTTGGAGGCACAGTGCTAATGGCAACAAAAAAAATGTCAAAATCTAGCCTTTCCTTGTTTCTTGTCCTGAAGGAATACCTTCAGCATAACAGCTTACTCAGCGGGAATAAGGGTGCCATAATTTAGCCTGCATTGACTTAAGGACATTTCAGCAAGAACACCACACAGTTCACTGGGAAATAGATTTTAAAAATAGGTTTTTTTCCCCCCTTTTGAAGTTATTTTGGTCCAAAGATCACATGTTTAACAGACACTACTTAAACCCCTAGCGGAGGAACAGTGTGGGTAAATTACAAGCTACAGTAAAAACCAGTGAAACTACGTAATTCATGGATAGCTTTCTCTTTTTTCAAACTACACCATAGATCAACTGAGAGTTGATTTTAAGGTGATACCTTTAGTTTTCATAATAATTCTGACTGAAAAAGAGTATGTCATGCAACGAATTATCTTCTAGCTTTTCCAAGCCGCTTCTCAAGTGCGTGAACTTACTCCATGGAGCTTGAGAAATTTTTCAGTTAAATCTTTTTTACTAGTTACTAGTGATAGCTGCGGCTTTCTAAAGGGGAATGCACTCCTCCACTTCAGTTTAGCATTTCCCCAAAAAGAATAAAACGCAAGACTGATCTTTAAAGCAAATGGAAAGACAAAACCCAAGCATTTAGCTCCCCGTTATCTTAAGGTCCGAAGATCTTTCCTTTATGGGTCACCTCCTTTAAGTGCCCTTTTGTTTTCTCCATACTAGCTCTGAAGACATCAAACGCAGCTGAGGAGAGGGAAAGAAGAACTGTGAGGTCTGATGGAAGAAGTCTTCATAGCAAGTAGAAATATTTGAGATTTTGCAAACGGACTACTCATTTGGGAAATGCAAGCTTAACATCAGTAAAAGTTATCATAAAGGAACTGACTCAAACATAAGGCTGTGAAATTAGGAACTTATTTCTAAATGCATAGAAAGCAAGATTTGTTCACATCGAAAGCCTCAGGGGGTAACCTGTTTGAAAAAACATCCACTATTTTCACCTATCTCCTGCATCTCTCAAATAGAGAGACACACCAAATTCACATATAAAATACACCATTCTTTCGTTAGAAACTCTGCTCCAGTTGTCAAAGCATAACTCTTTTCTAAGTTCACCTAACCTCATGAGTTGAGCTGACTTACTTAAGCAAGTCCAGCTACTTGTACGCCAATCATTTATGAAGAGATGCATCAATATTCACAACAAGTCATGAAACCATACTAAATCCACACTACTTATCTTACAAAACTTGCCTCCATTTCAAAACGCACAGGGGAAGGCACAAAACCAAGTTCTCACATTCACAACATTGCCAGTCCTAGCACACACCTGAAACAACATTGTCCTGTTCTTCTCCGAATCTGAGGGCTGAACATGACTGGGTGCACTCGCGTGCCTTCTGCGCGGCTGTATTTTAAGGTTTGTGTCGTGGACCCTTCTTTGCATAACCGCAGTGACGCTGCTGCACCGGGAACGAAGTGCCTGCTGCTCATCAAAGCCAGAGTCCTCTAAGATCCGCTCTGGAAAGGAGCTGCGAGTGCTGGTCAGGTTGCTCAAGTTGGTCTGGCTGCCAACTGTAAACATCCCAGCCTGCGTTGTGGTGGTATCTGGGCCACTGGGCTCCTCAAAGGGGCTATCTGATGGAGAAGCCGGCGCATCTCCTTCGCACAAGGGTAAGTCCAAACTCGACTCTGCACTGCGCTGCTCGCTTAATAGTTTCAGGCGCTGGCGCTCATGAAGACTGAATTTCTCAATACAATCATCAATGAGTGTGGAGGGAGCTTTCTTGTGAGCCACTGTCACCTTTCCACAGTACAAGACCTCAAATTTTTGAGAGTTATAGAAGGCATCTTCACTATCCTTACTTGGCTTGGCATCCTCTTTCAGTGCTGCTTTGGAGACTTGCCGTATGCTGCTGATGACATCAGGAACCTAAAAGACAGTTTTAAAAGTCCCTTTTTAATAGCCACAAATGAGATACTGCAGATAGTGATATGTTAAATCAATATAAATATTTACACTAAAGTGCCACCACCTATTTGGTTCACTGGTGCAAGACTAGTAATTTCCAGGTTCTGCATAGACAGTTTCTGGAACGTAAGCAAAGAAAACTGTTTCTAATATTTTGTGCTGGAACATGTTTCAGAACATAACGTTTTAAATGTCTAGAGTGATCAGCTAAAAGTCTACTGACAAACGTTCACACTTGGTTCTTGTACCACTGCTCTTTTCTGTAACCTTCTTCCCCCATCAGTGTTTCTCTCTGATGTATTGTGTACAGGGCCACCCTTTTATTTTTTGTTCTTTTCTTTTGCAAAGCCAGATATTCTACTCTACTGTTGTGCAAACTGACATGTGCAAATGAAAAGAGACAAATAATCCCTGTTAATTTCAACCAGCAATTTTGGAATACAGGCAGCAAGGATATGGAAACTTTACAGAAGTACCACGTACAATCGCATTACCTCTCCTCTATTACCTACTCCAAAAACCTCACCTAGTCCATCCTAAGACGTAGCTTACTCTCAGGTCACGCTTCCTCGCTGTCTCAGTCACCCGACATTTGAGAGGCACACCCAAACCTCTCTGCTTCTCTGTCCTTCTTACCTACAGGTCCTTCTTACCTACTATACCCTTGAAGGCCAAACTGAACATCTCTGTAGTCACCACTGCCAAATTCAGTCCTGTATCACCCAGTCCTTAGAGGTCACCTAGTTCTTCCCCCATTATACCCCAATTACCTTGGACGATGTCTGCCATCAGCATATTTAATAAGCAAGCTCCTCTGTCATTCTGTCCTTACTGAAGGAAAATCAAAATTCACTCAACACTACTAGCCACGAGTCAGAGCAATTCCATTTCTTCTTTCAACACTACCTACTTCTGCTTAACTCAGTCTTTCTCACCTCAGTTCTCATCATCTCTGGTAAGATGAGAATGATGTTGTTTCACATGCATTTGGGAAGTTACTAGTGAGATCAAAGAGAGGCTACCTATGTTCATCACTAAAGAAATCAGTTCTCAATGTCAAGCTAAAGCAATGTATCACTGAGTAGCACACGCTGTATTCTACACAGCTTCCCATCACATCTATAATATCTGGTAATTTGTTCCAAAACTTTTTCTAAAAAAAAAAAAAAAGTAACTCTGAAGTCACAGCCTAGCATATAATCCATGCTCCCTGAAGTATCTCTTTTTTTCTAGTCACACCAGATACCATCTGAAACTTGCTAATTAAGCAGCAATCTCGTATACCAATACTTTTGCAAGTAGTGGCGCAAAATTACCTTGTCCGACTCCCTTCCCCCATCACACACTCCTTCCCAGGCAGGCATTCAACTCAAATGTGCTTCCACTTCATTGGCTGCAAGATGAAGTTCAATTACCCTAAAATCTACGAACCATTTACCTTTTGTCCCTTAGAGACATCGTTTCAGTTTTAAATGACTGTATTTAATCCTCACTCATTCTCACTAGCAGTGCTGCCCTACGCAGACCAAGGGGTGCGCTACCCCTATTCATGCCAAATCAGCTAGACATGGATGATTCTCACTTTCCCTGCGCTGCTTTATCTTTCAAGATTGAGCTTTCTTCACTGATCACTCCTCCTCTCATTTTTTCCACAGACTGCGCTTAAAGAAGCTCTGCAGTTTAAACCTCTTAAGTGAAGTTCACTAGCTTCCTGTCCTTTAATTACATTTCCCCTTTCAGAATCCACAATCTGTTACAGGACAATTTCACTTACTTATTTAATGTATAGTGACAAATGAGAATTCTCTTCAAAATGTTTAAATTCTACAATGCAATCGCTGGCTTAAACCATGTCAGCTGCTGGATTTTAAAAAAACGTACTGACAATCACTTCTACTGCAATAACTGTGTCCTCTCACTCGCTAATAATTTCTGAAATACAGACTGGAGAAGAAATTCTGAAGTCTTTCACATAATTTAGAATAGCCTCCTAACACATCCTGTCCCTCATCACCTGCCAGTGAATGTCCAGATACATTGCGGATTACAACCGCATCCCTTCTCAGATTTCCCACACGTACACGTGCACACACACAGTTTTATGCAATTAGAATTCTATTAGAAGAAACTCAAAATGTTACCCTACCATCCTGCTATTTATTGCTTGGTTTAGTGTTCATCTGTTTAGAGCGCACATATTATTCAACTCCTGGTATTTGAGTCACAATTACTATTTCACAATGCCTGCTACCTTTGTAGCTTCTGCTTCCACCTACCACATCAACAGCTATACCATTTTAATTTCAGCATATATGATCCTAGCACTAGGATCATAGAGGTTTCAGCTGGTGCCTGACCATTCCTTATTATATCCATAAACTATGTTATTTTTGAAGAGTGCACCTCCATTAATGTTCACTTTTTTTCTATTTTTCATCCTATCTACAGATTTAAAGTGAGAAATCAAGGTTGGAGGAGGAAGGCCCATTCAGTCTCTGAAGTTACGGATAGCTTTCTTAGGTACAGAAGAGGAAGAAAACAATGTAAAACACGGATGCCACAATGGATAAGAAATATCTCAGTTGGGCCAGAACCAGTTCCACATGGCTGCTGATAGTCTCATGGATTCTCTAGATAGTATGGTGTGAAAAGCACCATACTTCAAGCATAAGATGCAACACAGATACTGGTATTGCTAGGCATTTAGTCATATGAAATGACTCATGAAATTAAGTAGCCAAAGTGGAAAAATGGAATTATTATTCCTTAATTCCATAAGGTCATTGCATCTCGTCCTGGACATAAGCTACTGACAGCTATGGCAGAGTGAATCAAAAAGGTTAACTAGCTTTTCACATAAATAGTTTCTCAGTGTTCACTTGCATACACTGTAAATAAATTTAAAATATTTCAGTAATCTATTTATTTATAATTCTGATTATCAAGCCTTGAAGATAGTTATTTCAAACCATGAGACTGGGGTAGAGGGGGATAGGTGATGCGTTTACAGGGTAAAAGAGGCATACTTCATCCCTATCACATCTAGCGGTGCTAGTACTGATGCAACTTCTAATAAGAAGTTAAATTTTCCATGCTTTGCCTCTCACCCAGGTCCTACAATCTTAGGGGCCTATGTCATTTCTCCTTTTGCTGGGAAGAGAAGGAGAGGAAAACTGCTTCCCTGAGGGAGACACACAGGAGTTCTCAGGCAAAAAAGCAGAGCCGATGGCCCTGATGGAGCTGCACCAGGATAGCAGCTCTCAAACTGGAGGCAGAAGTCAAAGGCGTAAAGCAGGCCATGTTATTATTATTCATGAAGTTTGCCTAAATCGTAGAGGACTAGCAGACTATAACATTAAGGGGAAGAAAGCAGTTATGAAAAAGGTTTATAAACAGAGTGGTAGGACAAGTTTATTCGAGCTATAAGTATTCTCAGTCTATACAAGCTAACGTTATAAGCATCTTAAAGTGACATTCTGAACACTAATTGTCCAATATTTTGTATTTATTGACCAAAGGATGTAAAAAGTCTATTAACTTTTCCATTTAAAAGTTTAAGAGGATGACATACTGAAAAGCAGGCTCTGACGATACCCACTTGAAGTGTGTACTCCTAAGTGAGGGGCCCTGTCTCCAAAACTTGGTTCATCAAAAACAGCAATAATAATAAAGAAAAAGACTGTAAGGTAAGAGGCAAATATGAAGAGTTCCACAGTGACATTGAAGTAGACATATTTCACTCTAGGGAATCATGATAGATCTCAGAAGTCTTGACAGATGAAATCAGCACTTGGGAATTCAAATCAAATTGGTTATCATGCTTATTCAAGTCTCTTAGGAACATTTTATGATCACTCTTCACTCAGCTAGATCTGATTCAGTAGGCAGCGATTCAGTAAAGACCATTAGCTGCACTCTGTCCATAATGGATGTCCCTGCTGAAGTTCTGCATCACCTACAACAAGATTCAGCTGTAAATACATACAGCAGGAACTAACGTGTGCCTCTCTCACTAACTCTCTGTTAACTATACGCAGTACAGTTTTGGTAAGCCGAATCTCACGTCAGCATCAATTCAGGGATGAGGCAAACGGTCCTCCAATCTATCCTACTTGCACTTTGGCTATGCGTCCCCCTGTGACCTTGTTATGGACCTGAGGAGCTCTGCAGTGCATCATCCTTTTGGCCAGCCAGTTTAGGGCTGCAGCGCTTCATCCTGGGTAGGAAACAGGTAGGTTAATATTCTAGATCTGCTAATTCCAGCTCTGCAGCTCTTGGGCTCAGTCCATTTCTGTCCCTTGTGACTAGACCTATAACAGGGTCAAAACGTAATGGAGAGCAAGCACCTGCCTTATGCATAACTAGTACACTGTACCCAGTGTGCATAAACGCCGAACTGCCAAGAACCATTCTACTATATATTCCCAAAGTGCAGCCGTGCTCTATACGGTTGTGTTTTCACGTTGGAAGCATCAGTTAAACTGACTTAACTGAGGCAAGCTCTTTCATCTGACTTGATTAAAACTAAAGACAGTAAAAGAGGAAAATAATTAACACTCACAAGTTAAAACTTCCTTAGTACGCCCTACCATGTCACATAACTAGATTTTGTGAAAATTATTTTGAAACATCAAGATACTGGTGATATACACCTAATAACTGAAGTTCCCTTCTGCTTTTAAGGCAGGGTTGGTAAAGTTGAAATTAGAGAGGCTATCAAGCTTTCTAAGGCATGCATACTGCAGTATTTAGCAGCTTTCTTCTGTGCTTTTTCTTTGTTACAACTCTAGAGTGAGCAGAGCATCTCCAACGTGATGCTGCGTGTTTTCTTGAATAGCAGTAACAGCAGTCAAAGCATTAGCAGTATATACTCCCTCTGAATTTCCAAAAGCCTTCACCAAGCAAAGGTGGGGCTTCCGCTTTGGCTGGAGGGATTACATTCAAACACACCCAGAAATAATTGCTGAGCAGACGTTTCAGTTTTAACCAAAAGGTAACACTTTAATGCTTTGGATACGGCAAGGAAAAACAAAACTCACTTGCTGTATATTGTCACATCCTCAGCTAGACAGAATTTCATGGCAATAAAGAAGCTGCATCTCTTTTTAGTTTGTTTCTACACGGCAAATTTCAGTTTGGAATTTATTAATAAAGCAGAAGCCCTTAGCATAAGGCTTATAACCATTAGCATGACTGCAAAGTACTAATCTGACAAACGTCTGATAACTCGGGCTGCTTAATGACAGCAGTTCTAAGAAGGTGTTTATTCCCAAAGTAATGAAGCAGCTCAGCTCCTCGCACTCCGCCACCGCACTAGCTGCAGCATCAGATCCCTTCCGACACACCAAAAGAAACGAGATGAATCGACACCACACATACACGTTAAAAGCGATACCTTCTGGCGCGGGTTCCAGTTCAAAAGCAGCGGCATGTTCACGCAAAGCTCTTGTCGCTCGACTCACGGCGTAACGAACTCAGGAACAGATTCCTGCGATAAGCGAGCGCAGAAAGATCCCCTCTTACAAAGGGCTGGCACTGATTTCGCAGCGTTTCCTCAGACTCCGCTCATGGCAGCACACCACAGCCAGTTACAAGGCAGCGCTCCGCACAGCGACCGTTACGCTTCAAAGGCCAAGCATTTCCTGACCTAGAACTGGAAGCACACGTGCTGCCTAGGATTTGAATAACTACAGTCCCACTAATGACCAAGCTACATACATACATACAAATACACACACATGTACATATAAAATATGTGCACACACACACATATATAAATATAAAATCAGAGAAACGAGATACTATGCAGAACTCCATGTTCTGCTTAAGTTATTTGACACCTATTGATTAGAAACCTGCCTAATGTAAGAAAAAATTAGGAGCGTTTGTACACTAATCACACAGACGCACCTCTCCTTTCAAGTCAGTGCTCAGCTGCATATCCTCAAGCTAGCAGAACCCAGCCACAGCAGTGAGACATGAACAGAGATAAAATATGCCACACAATGTTGTGCTACATATCAGGCATTCAACAGTCCGAGTCAATGCTCTTATCTGGTACAAAAACACATCCAAATACCAGTTAAGGTCCATATATCAATAACTATTCTCAACCAGAAAGAGGGATGGGAGGGGGAAAAATAACCCTGCTTTCTTGTTAGCTGCTAGCAGCACTGATACAAATGTTTTTTACTGCCCCCCAGTTACCACAGCGCTGATCATCCAGACCTTTCCAGCTTCTTAATCTACAGTGGTCTGCCGCTCCACTCACCGGTGACAGTGCTCCACATATCAGCTTTCACTATTAGAAATGCACTCTGTCAGCTGACTTGGTGCTGAAGGAATACTGACCACCTTCAGTTTTATGGAAAGGAGCAGGATTTGTAACCAAGTGAAACGCTAACACAACAGAAAAGAACAACTGAAAGGAAAAAAAAAAACAACACCTAAATAACCCACCTGTGCTTAGTGTCCTTCTAAAAACACAGTTTAGAAAACTCAAAGTCAGGTTCCTAGCAGGCAGTAATAAGCATCTGCCATGAGCTCTGATTCGTTGTATTGCAAGTTTGGACTAACACAAAACAAGCCCGCTGGTAAGCAAGCTGGAACACAGGGGCTGGCCAAGACAGAGGCGCTGAAAGAGGCTCTGGGAGCTTCGAGCTGACAGTCACCCTTGGCAGCCAGCGCTTTCAGGTTTCAGCTGTTCTTTACAGGTTCACGAGTATAGCTGAAGCTTTCTGTTTTTGTAAGTTCACACCGAAAACATCAAAACCCCACGTAAGGATTGCACACAGTCAACTTTGGCTTTCAGAAGATAGTCTTCCTTTTATTTGCCCGGCCCATATTTTTTCCAGGCGACTGGTAAAGATCCAATTGGCTTTGCTTCTGAAGAACTGCTACAGAGCAAGGCATGTATTGCACTCTGATATTCAGCCCCAGGCCATAGGTTGGGGATATCACGCATTCCGGCTGAAGGCAGAGCGGAAGGCCACCACTAGACCAGCCTAAAAGGAAAGGGATTTTTAGATAGGTAAGCTAAAAAAAAATTAAACTCTCAAGGTGATTCTTTCTTGAGATCAATCCAGAAATTATTTGTGCTGTTTAGTTTCAATACAATCACTGGACAAAAAAGTCTGCGGCGGTTGCAGAGCTTCCAATTCGAGAACCTACGACGTTACCTAATTTTCTTCTGGAAACTTGTGGATCGCCTAACACATCACGTGTACTAAGCAGGCACACAAGACTGGCTACTTTGCCAAGTATCCAAATTTAAATAAGCATAATGATATAAGGTAGATCAAGTTGCTTAACAGGAAAGAACATGTAAGAGCTACAAGAGTGTTTGGATGCCTGAGCAGGTAACGGACGCTTTTTCATATACTTACTTTTTATACTAGCACTCTACAGGGGCATATCAAAGAACAGACGGCAGTCGATAGAACAGAGCATAACAGCAACAGGAAGGTTCTTGCATTCACCTATGTTTAGGTCAGCCACACTTACGCCTTTCTACTTTTCAGATGCAGCTCACACGGCTCGAAAATTTTTCAGCCCAAGGAAGCGTCAGCACAGAAAGGCAAAGCTGTCACGAAGATCCTTTCATGCTTTGAATACGTAGCATAGTACGTCTCAATTCACCTACCAGTTACATATTTTGAGCATATGCAAGTATTCTCAGGTTTGTTTCCAAGTTCAGGACACAGTTCCCAGTGAAAGATTTGGCAAAGTACAGCTCGCTCATATTACCAATTCATGTTCTCTTTCAAGCTATCTGATGCAAGTTTTTTTAAGCTATGAAAGCACAAATTCAGATATCAACTATGAATATACTCCTGAAAACTTGGCATTTTGAACTGAATTTGGTAGTTCAATTTCTAGCAGGAGATTTATTAAAGAACATGTTGTTTTTTTTAGAGCTTCATCATTTTTAACACATACTCTACTTTTAAAAGGGCTTGCCTGGAAAGATAAGACTGTCACGTGGACCTCTCAAACAATTAATGCATTCTCTGCATTCATTTCCTTTTGGAAAAAAAAAAAAAGATACAGTTGGCGAGCTCATTGAAGCATTTTGCCCATTTATGGCCACTATCCACTCCTCAAACGTACATTGGAAGACAGCAAGTTTCGTTTTAGCAGATTTAAAGTGCAAGTACTAAAACTGAAATGAGTGCTCTATCTACCAACCTTTAGGAAAGAATAGGGTTTTTTAATTCAGCAATTTTAGACAGGAACTCTCAACATTTTAATTTAAAAACATGAACTAATATGTTTTTTCACTGTGCAGCTAACACATCCTGATAAGTCTGGTTTTCCCTAGTCAAGAGATTAGCTTCAGCACTCTTGCACGGCAGACCATGACAACTCCTAAAGCAAACGTTAACCCACATTTGCTCTGACTTCTGTGAATGCCAATACCTTTACAAGTTGTTTGCTGCAATAACCTTACCATCACTGAGGGAGAAGGTAGCAAGTATCTGGTAATTCAGGACCAACTCTAGGAGATGTGAGAGTAATTAGAGACTCCCTTCAGCATCAGAGACTTTGCAGGGCTCTACATGTTTAGTCCAGGATCTAAGGAGCTACTGCAAAAGCAGCAAATAAAACCCTCAGTGAGGCTAGAAATTCCTTAATGACATGAAAACAAGGAATTAGGTCTTTTCCCACTTCCTAGAAAGTCTTGACTGAGAAGGTCTACTGAGAGGTTTCAGACTCCAAGATCTCCTCAGGAGAAGCTCTGCTTACAGAAAGGTGGTCATCTAAAACAGTGTCAAGCAGCAAGTGACACTGCAACAGTGACAAAAAGAGTTACTGCTGGGTTCATGAAGCCTTAAGAAAAAAGGGCATCCAGTAAGCAACTCTCTAAACAGATACACATAGGTGGCTGATAAATAGCATGTGCGGAGCGGAAAAAATGGATTGCAACCTTATAAACCTTCAAAGGTTTCTCTACCCCTGCCAACTTCAGAAATACACTCCTGTGTAAATTCTAGCTCACTGGGCAGTCTTGCAGTTCACATGAGCAACTGCATTGCCTCGCTACAATACCAAATGCCTAAGCAAGGGGTAGCAGAATTAACTTTTTGCAGATAATAACCAGCAAATAGCCCTAGTTATTATAAGCACAGTAAGAGAAGAAGCCGTATCAATCCACATAGCCAGTTCCCAGCAGCTGGGAGATCAGCTCAGCAGAGCAAGTAGTTTTCACCTAACCAGACTTTGTCCAGCATGTAAGCCTTGAATCACTCTGACAGAGGCACAAGCATAACAAATACAGTGCCTGAAGGTACAGCTAACACACAGTGAGCAATACCCATGCTGGAAGGCATGATAGTTTAACCGTGTCAATCGCTAACTGTTAAAACATTAAGATGTCATCAGCTGCTTAAGTGAACTGTAAAAGAATACTAAGTAGTTAAGGTGCTCAAAATTAAGGCCACACAGATAGGGCTGAATGGGTGAATATTTCAAATTTAATAGCTGAAAGTGTTCAAGTGCAGGGTTGTTTTCCTTCCCCATATGGAGAAATTCCAAAACAGCTACACAGTTACTGTTAATAAGTTAAAAAAAAAAAAAAAAAAACCACACCACACCACAAGACCCAGGGGTAATAGGAAAGGAAACACTTCCCCAGGGAGCTTTGACACAAGTAAGTCAATGAAGTAAAGGAAGGAGTTGTTTCTAAAGATATATGGAGGTCTGGGTTTTTTTTTTTTTCCCCGAGTGAACATTTTCCTATACCTTAGGGAAGATAGCTTTTGCAGTGCTTCACTAATTGCTACTGGTGGATACTACTTGCTTCAATACTTCTAGCTAATCAATATTTTTTCAATTTATTATGTGTGATACATAATAGTTATAACTGAGCCAATAGTTGCACAGTGCTGCCTGACTGCATAAACCGTAATACAGTCAGTCTGGTAACTCTGGGGTAAATGAAAGACGCAGCTTTTGGAACTGGCTTGTGCCTGCACAGATAAATAGAAGAGGTAGGTTGTGCTAACTTACTAGAGCTAACATTGCTAACAACATTAATAGCAAGAATAGAGGCACAGGCTTTTTCATGTCCTGGCAATAAGGTATTATTTGTCATGCCCAGCTGTAATCAAGGCAAAAGACTCTTTCAAGTAACTCAAAGCTTCGGAAACAGGCAAGTCGTTCTCTTATAAAATAATATAAGACACTCTTCTCTGCAGTTTATCCATAGTTTCATCATTCTACCGCTGAAGCTAATTTTTACTCACTTAAAATAGTCCAGATTCTGAAATATTTCTCTCTGCAACCAAAAGCCATTTTGCTGTGATAGCTGCAGTAAACGTTCCAGACATTTCTGTACGTTCGATCCAGAGGCTCTTTAGAAAGGTACAACAGAAACTTCAACTTCAAAGATTATCCCAAACATGACAGAAACATGCAACACTTAAGTTATTTATTATCATCTAATCTTTTATCATGCTCGGCATAGTCATGGCTGTTCTAGT